CGAGCTGGGCAGGGAGACACTACACCAAGTCAGGCAGAGATCACACCCTAAGTTTCCTGCTTGGCAGATGTGAAGGACAATCTACCAAGTTTGCTTCCTAATTAAACCTGTAAGAGCACCTCTCTCAATCTCATACATAGCTCTGTGCTTCAGAAATACTTTAGGGCTCATTCAAACCCAAGAGGTTTGGGTCTGCTCACTTGCCAATACTGTTACCTGGACCAAATGTATTTGTGGACACTGGTGTGGTGCTGACGGATAATACACTGGACTGCAAGGTTGGTTTGAATGGAAAAGTTGGCGGTTCAAATTCACCAGCTGCTCCTTGGAAACCCTACTATGCAGGGTAACTATGTGATGGATAACCAACTCCAAGGCAGGGAACAACAAACCTGCAAAACAGGTTTGGCTATAGGGAGTCCGGAGCTGAGATCTGGGATCGAGCTTTAGAAGACTGCCAGACACTGAGGACAAGGTCTCACTGCAGGCAGCTAGGGGTGTAGGGCTCCCCCTTCCTCACAGAGCAGTGTGGCCGCCCCACCAAAGGCACAGCTGAACTTGGAAACAGTTAACAGGCGGGCCCAGGGGTTTCAATCATTTCAGGTCAACAAGCTGCTTGTGGTGGGTACATCCTGGGCTCAATCAAGCCTGGGAAAATGGTGCCCCGTCCCTGTGCTCCAATCCCTACCCAGGCCTGGCAAAATCCTTCAGATGCCACTCTGTCGTGAGTTACAGTAGGGTTGTCACTTCTACTGAGTGGTTTTGAAGAACCTGCCATTTGTCTATAGTGGTCTGCCTCTAATGGTTCAGCAGGGCTCCGGGTGGGCCCTCAGCCTCATCTGCACACACCTGCTGCCTCCCACAGCAGGCTAGTCCTTCCACCTGATTCATATTTACATGTTAGGGCTGCAGAAATATTTGAAATGTCATAAGCACTTTGTAAATAGTTTGTATATTGCTAACAGAAGACAACTCTCACTTATCAGTCTTGGAGCTTAGAAGCAACCTCCTCCACTGAGCTGCAAGGACTCAAGTCCAAGTTTAACCATGTCCTACACTGCCCTGAGGCCCGTATCCAGGCAGGTAAGGCCTCCTGTTCCTGCCAGGCCCTCCCCATGCTCCCAAGTGTGGGCAGTGCTGGGGCCCCCTGCTCTAGGCTTGCCAGCTTGGCAGCCACAATGCTGAATACATTTGCCTGTAGAGTGTCCACTGGGTCTCAGAGGTGCTGAGGCCAGCCCCACGAGCAGCCTGGCTAAAGGCCCCAAGGCCAAGGAGATCAGGCCCAGCTCAGGGAGGTGTCTCAGGTTCCCTAAAACCTACTTCTCCACCTCTTTCCTGCCTCTTCTTGGGGTGGTTGTGAGGTTTAAAACTCGTAAGTTGACGAGAAGAGCAGTAGTGGGTACACCACCCCAACTTCTAGAGAAGGTGAGTGGGCAGTGTGACAGAGAAGGCTGCTGACCCCAGTCCTTAACCTCCCCAAACCCTATCCAGTATCAAGTTTCCTACAGCGTGTCGTGTGTGTGAGCGTGTGTACACGCGTGGACAGACAGAACTCAAGAGAGCCGGGGACAAGATGTGTACCAGTTAGCTGTCTAAGCAAGTCAGCAAGACGGAGGGGCCATCAGTCCGGGCGAGTGACCGCCATGTGACAAGGAGGCTTAGCCTGATGAAGTCATCTGAAAGCAGACTCTTCCTCTTTATCCCAAGCTCTCAAATGCTCTCTCACCCCAAGTCTACCTGGTATGTCCACTACTCATGACTGAAACCGAAAGCCCGCGGATGCTCTGAGTCCACCCCGAAACAGAGTTTGCACACCTGCTGGAACAGAAACGGTGGGCAAGTTAATAAGCAACAGTCCTAACGTCTGACTTGGGGAAAACTACTGACCCCCCCACCCCCCCAGCACACACACACACACACGCACACAGATGCCTCCTGTGGGAGAGCCGCTGGCCTCAGCGCTTGTTGACCCAGGAGAGCCGTCCATCTTTGCTGAGGCTCCTGGCACAGAATGGTAGCGACTGGTGTTCTCGGTCAGTGGACCTGTGGCAGGTGGCCAGGAGCTACCCAACGGCTCACGTGTAAAAAAACATGACCAGTTTCCACAAAACACTTTTATTGATCTCGAAGGAGAAAAGAGGAGTACATTCCAGTCAGTATTATTGCTGGCTTTGATTACAGTTTCTGTGCAGAGCTAGCAATACACACATGAAGACGGAAGAGAGGCTGTCTGACAGACATAGGAGTCTGCAGCTAATTTTCAATGTAGTTCACTGTGAGAACAAAATGAGACTCCGGACTCATATTCTGAATGTTAGGAGGAGAGGGATGGGGGCCCCTGCACCTGGGGAGACAGGTATGTACTGCATGCCTATCTGAAATCTGAAGGAGCTCCACAGGTGCTCCAAACTGAACCCCCAAACCCCAGCAACGCCTTCAGAAAGGACCCAGCGTCTGCAGTGCCAGGTGGGAACCAACGAGGGTCCCTCCGTCACAAATCACACTCACACTCCAACCTCATCTCTGACTAGGGGGTCCACAGGAACTGAAGGGGACCAGTGCCAGCAGACCCTCAGCCATTCTCCCGGAGGACGCAGCACAGGGCAGCCTCGTGCGCGAGGCCAGGCCAAGAGGGGGAGCCCAGACCTGGGTCAGCTGTGAGGCCGGGCGGATGCAGGGAGAGGCATGTCCTTTACACGGGCTTGATAAGTGTCAACAGCAGGGTTTGGGGAACAGTGCCTGTCATGCTCGGAGGCGGTGAGCTGCCGCACAGCGGTGAGGGACTCCTAGGAGCTGACCCCTGCCCCAGGAGCACCTCTACCAGGCTGCCACTCTGGGTGTCTGAGTTCTGGCGGGAGACCCTGTCCCCAGAAAGTGGCAGCTTCACCCACTAGCAGACAGCTAGAGTGACATGCTAGCTCCTTCAGGCCCCAGCCCTGCCCTCCCAAGGGGGTCTGAACAGACACGAAATCAAGAAGGGGGACAGACACCTGCAGCCCACTAGCGACCGCACAGACACTAAACTAGGACACACATGCACACAGCTGTGCCTGCAGCACGCCAAGTTACAGTTAACGAAGCCAGAACACACAGAGCAGGGGCAGGTCACCCAGGCTGGGGTCAAGGTGGGGAGCGAGTACGGAAGTGTGTGAAGTATACGTGCATAGTAACGTCACAAGTGCTACTAGGGATGTGAACCAAAAACACGGAAAAGCCTGCAAGCAAAATATCAGCGATTATTCTCGTCAACCTTCCTCCTGATTCTCTAACAAGCCAACAGGCTCTCTGTTGTGGGGAAAACCGTGGAACCGAGGACACCCCGGCCCTTCCCCCCCACCCCCCACTTCAGGTCTGTCTGCATGGAAGAAGTGCTGAGGTCGTGAGACGTCCACCATTCCAGAGTGTGGACAAGGAGTCGTGCCCTTTGGACATCTCCCCTGTAGGAAGCACGGTGCCTCCTGCTCCCTCCCCGTAGAACCTGGAACCAGGAGGGGTTGTCAGCAGACAGACAGACCCTTCGTCTTTCAGCTCAGGTTCCACAGCTGCCATTGCTAACCCTGGGGGTGCTGGGGTGGTGTCAGCTAGCTCCCCCAGTGCTCTCTTCCCCGAGACGTGCACAGCACGCGCACACTCCCTCCTGCACACAAGAATTTTACACGAGGGACTGACCGGACGCTCTCACAGGCGGCTACATCAGCTTCTTGCTCTTCACCTTCCAAACAGGATGCTTCCTTCCAAGGGTCATTGAGGAAGCTGGCCAGCACGCTGCATGCGGCTGGCCACCAAGAAGCTTCTGGAGAGATGTCTCTGCTGTTAGTGCAGTGGTACATCTTTATGCCGTGTGTCAGGTGACACATTGGAGCACTCTACTTTTCCAATGCATGTGGCACGAAGACAACATACCATGCCACAAGGTTATTTAACCTAAGAATCAGCGATGCTAAGCCAATCTCACAGTGAGGGGTCCGCCCACCCCACCCCACGAGGTGTGAAGACTCGAGCTCCAGTCGGGGCTGAGTGGCCTGGCTTGTGTGTGTACACGAACGTGTGCTTGTGTATGAGGACCCACTTGGCTGTGTGTGGTGAGTGCTCCCTGCCCCCAGGGCTCCAGGAACACACAGGTCCGAGCTGTTCATTTAGGGCAGTACTTTACAGATGCGTTAGGATCGGCACCTCTCAGGCGACATCAACAGCCAAGGAGCAGCTTGAAGGTGGTCAGTTTCTGTAGCTCCCTGACACTCACCGCACGACATCCCTCCGTGAGTAGTGTGGACATCAGCCATGAGCTCAGCAACTCACCTCTCAGAACCCGTTCCAACTCACCTCAACCTTGCAAAACAGCTTAAGTGTTCTGGTTTTTATTGCTGTTGTTTTTAAATAAAGATTTGTTTATAAACAATCCTTTAAAAGCATTACTTTCTAAGTAATGAGCAAATACGAGGAAGCGTCACAAAGCTCGGGAAAAACCAGAATGTGAAGAAATGGGAATTTCCATGCTCTTTTTGAAGCCCCATCATACAGTGCAGTTTGCCAAAGAGAAAAGTTACTAAAATGCAAGCACAAGATTTTAAAGCTTTGATTTCTACACCCGTTCACCTGTCTCTCCCAACTATTGCGCATGCATCTCCTGGAAATCAACATACCAGTTGGCCAAGGGATCCCAGACGGCAAGCACTTACTTCCGGATAGGGCCCCTCCTGGGCCACACCAGTGCAAGGCGCTCAAGCTCCTCCTTGGCCCGCCCCTCGAGGTTTCTGTGCACTTGAACCTCCCACCGACTTGATGACTGGGCAGGTGGTTGGAAGTCGAGGATTTTTCCCTCCTCCTAAAACCTTCCTAGACAGTCTAGGCTAATAGTCAGGGATCTTTCTAGCGCACTGCTCCTACACCCTACAAGAGGGGCTTTCTGGGAACACTGCTTCACTTGTCCTCCCAGGAAGCCAGTCAGGCGTGATGGCCTCACTGAAGAGCCAGTCACTACTCAGAAAGTAGGGGCTTACCTGGTCCCTCAAAGGGCAAGAGTTTGGCTGGGACAGGGTCCTTAGCGCTGAGCGGGATCAAGTAGAGGTCTTTAATGTGTCTGTTGTTATTAGCTACAACCCCGAAACGGCCACGGCTGCTAAAATAGGAGTACAGGGAAATATAGGCCACTTCCTCCTCTTCTGTGGCAGGATGAAAGCGAATCAGACACAGCTCCTACGAAGCAAACACAGGATAAGGGGACCACGGTGACCGGTGGCTGTTTTGGAAAAGCAGCATTCCATTCCTTTTTGAATCAGAAACTCGTCCGAGACAGAAAATATCAACAACTTCTGGACTTTGGTTTCCTGCTGCCCAGAGAGTAAAGACAGCAACATGGCCAGGGATAAGGCCCCAGTCTCACAGTGCCCAACAATGGCCCCCAGCCACACTCTCCTACCTTGTAGAGGCACTATATCCATGCAGTTACCCAAGTATGGTGTCAGCTTGGCCCCAATCCCATGAACTGGTGACTCACACCACACAGGATGCTAAGCTGTATGGGTCATGTGCACCTCTAAGATGCTCCACACTTTGTGTCATCACTGTGTACCCTTTTCCAGAGGAGAGACACACACAGCAGCTGTCACCTCCCATCTGAGACCCCAACGCTCCCAACCTCGACATTACAACATGAAGTTCACACGTCTCAGTCCACCTGTTAAATACACTGGACGCATCCCTGCATGGCGCTGTTCCTCAGAGCTCAGAGAGCTGTCCTTTCCCACCAGTAAACAGTCTAATATTTCAGCAGTCACCTGGACACGTCGAGTGAACCAGGGACAGGTAAGATGGATGCTTCCGTGTTCAAATCGAGAGGTGTTTCACTAAAAACAACCTTCAACTATACCACAGATTACATCATAAGCAAATACCTTAGAAACAGAAGATTTGAGTTTGCCAACATAATCCCAGACTGTCTTCGGTGAAATCCTCCCGCCAATGTGAATCGTGTCTGGCAAATCCTAAACAAAGAGCATTCCGAGTAAGTAACAGGTGGAAAGTACCGCATTCACAGACCCCAAACTGAGGAACACCCCACGGCGATGGGAGAGAGAGCAGACATAGCATATTGAGTGCTGCCTCGTGACTAGGGTTCCCAGTCACAGCCACTGGAAGATGGTGACATCAACAAGGCCCTGCCTGGCTGAACACATGCCCAGGGAAGCGGCTGGAGATGATCAGGTTTCCCTCCCAACTTCTATCACTGCACAGACGAGGGGCCTGGACAGCTAGACTCTTAGTGCTGACCTCTGCTGCCACCATACTCTCCTCATCACAGGCACACACGCACGCACACGGCTCTAACCTCACTGAGGTAATCAAAACATCCAGACACAGGATATGCCTTCGTGACAAATTTTGCCACACTCTGCATGTTGATGAACCCTTTCCAGATGGTGCCAAGCCGGGACAGGAAGAGTGCCGTGTCTCCTTCTGGAGGGGACCGTGACTCTGAGACACTGTAAAACAACCAGACAGGAAGTGAGCCCCTTGTTCGGCACAAGGACGGCCCCTAAAGTACCAAGACATCACGGGCTCAGGCAAGCGTGCAGGGGCTTTTGCAGCTGACATCTCCCAGTTAACAACTTCCACTGCAATGGCATCGTCAGACAGCAGATGTGTCCAGTACCTTGGTTCTGGTGACGAGGATGGCTTGGCCAGGATGGACTTCGGCATCACCACAGACGCCAGGGCAGGCTTCGGAGCATCTGGTCTGCTCTCTGCCAGGTGGGCACTGTCCACGAGAAGGCTGCTGGAGCGCGTTGCTATAGAGGCCGGGAGTGGGCCCGTGCCACTTGGGGCAGTCCTGGGGTCTCTGCCAGACACAGTGACCGTGGTGATCACTGGGCCCCCACAGGAGGCCGGGAAGGAGGCAAAGTCCAGCAAGGGGGATGGCTCCGGATGGCCAAATCCTGGCGGGACAGGGACGTGACTTCGCTCGGTGGAGTCTGGGTGAAGTGTGCGCTGCGGCTCTGGCTCAACAGCACTCTCAAGTGGACTTGCTGGCCTCCCCTCATCGGAGTGAGGAGTAGGCTCTGAGAGCACATTGTCGAACCTGGGCCTGGTGTCCTCTTTCTTAGACGTGGACTGTTTGGGTTTCTTCAGAGCTGGCTCATCATCTGATGATGGAAGCTGACCTGAAGAGGACGAGGGGCCATTTCCTGAGACCTCTGACACTTTACGCAACAACTGTCACTAATGCCTCCTTAAGATGCCATAGGCACCACTTTTTCTACCCAGAACTCTATGCTTGGGCTCCTTCACCCAAACGTGGGTCCAACCGCTGATGTGAGAGGGCTTCATGCATTCGAACAAAGTAAGTGCCATCTTCCCACTGACGCCCATCTGCCCGCATCCCTCTCACCTGTGCAGATTCGACAGTTGAGATCAAACAGGTGTGCGCGGTGTTGGCTGGTAGTATCTCTCAGCATACTGCTGAAGGCGTCCAGAAGGGGCGCACTGCTCTTCTCTGGCACTGCGCGGACAGACTCTTGCTGCTCCTAGAAGCAAAAGAGAATCACCAAGGAGGTCGTTCAGCTTTCAAATTCACTTCCAGATTAACATCACCCACTAACACCCTTGTGCTTAGGACCCACTCAATATACGCTCTTAAAAAAAGAAGACAGCTAGCTACGTACCCCGGGAGGGCTTCAAAGAGGCCAAGGGAATCACCTTAAATGGTGATGGGATGGTCCCAGAACTCTTTGAAGCTCCCCCTATACCTGCTCCACACAGTGTCCACGCTCAGTAACTTAGCCTATTGGGAGGTAGCTGATCTCAGTCTAGACTTGTGAGGATCTCAATGCTGATACTTACATCCGAGTCTGACACGGGTGGGGAATCTTCCAGATCAGGAATGGGCTCCTGTTTAACAGCAACCTTCTTGCTTTCATGATGCAGCTTAGCTCTGGCCTCTGCCACCTACAATGCGAAAGTCCAAAGCAGAACTGTAAAGCCTGTTTTCTCAGAAGACGACAAGTCACTGGGTTGTTGGTTTCTGGAAAAGGCAGACTTTCTCTTAGTACTCACGGATTTGGCGGGTCTCTCTTTCCACATGGATAGCTCTCTAGATACAAGCTCTTCAGGCTTCATTCTCACAAGTTTTGCCAAAGAGATTTCTTCACGCAAAACACGATGGAAGAGTCCCTGTGAACACACACTCTTCAGCCAGCCAGCAGCACGTGCTTACTTGCACTGAGGGTGCTGCGGACGGAGGTGCACAAGTCGGCACCCCACTGTGCAGCAAACAGGGGTCCAGGCTCAGTCCAGGACTGAGGCTCTGTTACCACGGTTCTGCTGCGTGGTCAAGGGCGAAGGAAGGGGAGAGAATCTGGTGCGGGGCTCTCTGACACGGCTAGTGGTCATGAGGTGGACAGAACCTCCTTACTAAAAACAGCCGGACTCCAGGGCAGAGAACCCCAACTTTATTATGGAGACAGCAGGGGTTTCATACTGAGTGAAATGGGAGATGAGTTTTTATACCCCATTTTTTAAGAGCACCTGGAGGTTTGAACCACTGACTGCATTACCCCATGGCGCCATACCATGACTCCATTGTGTTAAAGGGCTCAGTTACTAGAGGGTACATTTCAGGGCAGACACTCTGAGCTTCCAGCGAAGGGACAGAAATGGGTGAGGGTGCCGCATAAGGACCTCGACTAAGAACACTAGCGGCCCCCCAGCAGGCTGCTGCTACAGCAGAAGGCTCCACTCAGCGCACAAGTGCACACACACCTGGTTTTTGGGATCCTTGAGGTTAAACATGATGCTGCGGTACTTGCTCTTGTAACGATTGTCTGTCACGTGAAACAAGTTGAACATCTCTTTCTCGATGTGGAGGGCAACCCGGCCCACTTCGTTTTCAGTCATGATGAGATCATCACTGTCACTGACTCTGCAGAGTAGGGAGAACTCTGTAAACCTCTGCACCCCAGCAGAAAACACCCACTCCAACAATCAAGCCAGACAGCCCACCTTTTCCACAAAATCTCTTTGAGAGACCGTCGTATGTTTTGCCGAATCTGTGAATTCGGCTGTGATGGGGCAGGACCCCCAGCTGAGAGCCGAGCAGGGGCAGGAGAGGCTGAGAATGCAGCTGCTTGCTTCCTGATGGCTCCAGTCGCAGAGGGGCCTGGTAACTTCTTAGGTCCGGAAGCTGCTGGTGACAGTCCTGACTGCTTAGTGACAGAGGAACTGCCTGACGACCCAGACGAAAGCCAGGACCTCTTGGGTATTGTCCCCTTGAAAGCTGAGGGTGACTTCTTGACGAGTTGTTTGGCTGCTGACACATGAGCGAAAGCAGGTGGCTTCTTTGGAGCCAGGCTCCCAGGTAGGGTAGGAGGCTGCTTGCTGAGCACAGGGCCTGATGGCGCCACTTTCTTAGGGACAACCACTGCTGCCATCTTCTCCCTCACCCTCTGGTCATCCTTCCCAGCTGCAAAGGAAGACGACAAGGCTCATCAGAGAAGCGGCCCCTTACAGTTAAGCAACAACAGCTTATTTGAGAATGCTGTACATCATCAAGTTACAAAAAAGGAAAAGCGAGAAAGCATCGAGGGTTACCAATAGGGTGCACGTGTGTCAGTGACAACTGACCTGTCCCAGAAAGAAAAATGCTTCATCGTGGTTAATCACTTGTACCTCACCCAACAAATTGAATTATATATAGCAAAGGCTCAACTGAAATCACTCGCTAAGTTTTAAAACAAATTTCATATCATCAAAAAAGGCTAGACTTAAAATAGCCCTTCCACAATTGAGAAATACAGTATTTCTGTAAGCTCGAGTTTGAGAAGGGTTTCCCTGGGAAAGGTAAAAAGAAGGTAAGTGCAGCTTTCTGCACACCAAGTCCTGGATACTCACACCATTCTTCTGGCCTAGAGCCAACTGCAGATGACATGGTCAGTAAAGACAGAGAGACACAGGCAGCAGGGTGTGAAGCAGGGAACCCATCACTGCTAGGTCACGCAGGTGTCCCGTTTGTAGCTCTGGGGCAGCAGTCAGCGCAAACAATTGGAAACTGGGTTGTGCCGGGGACTAACCCAAGAGCAAAACCTTTCCACCACTCCAGCCACAGGTTAAAAGGCAGGCTCCAGCCCAGCAGGACGCAAGTCTCTGGTCATCAAGGACACAGCAGACAGTTCTAGCTAGAGCCACACTGGGCCCAGAGGCAGAGGGTCAAGGGACATTCATGCCTGCTCCTAGTCTGGGTACAAGGCATGCACCACAGATGGGACGGAAGAGTAAAGTAAGGAGGAAGGTGCGGCAGCCATGGTGATGTTACTGAAGGACTGCAGATGCCGTCACCATTTGTCATGAGTGAGGCTGAAAACGCACCATTTGTCACAGGCCAGTCCCCATGGAGGAGGGACTGAAACCAATGCCATTGCTCCTCCCTTGCTATTCCTGTTCCCCAGGTGGGAGAAGACCCTTCATCCAAACTGTGGACCACACAGGAGCCACCAGCCCCACAACCCCAGTTCCCATTTTTGGGGGAAACTCTCCCTCAGCAGTCATGGCTTTCATCAAATTCAGTCATTTATACGGACAGGCAACCTGAGCCTGAGATTTGGAGTTCCAGGTTGTAGTAAAATAAGCTTCTAGTCTTACGAGACATGCAACAGTACGGTCCCTGGGTTTCCTCGGGTGTTAAGGTGTACTTTGCTGAGGTTTAGTCCTTATAATCACTAACAGGAAGACTTCACTGAAGGACAAACCTCTCAAGGCCCCAGCACCTCAGCCCAAGGCCATCCCAGCCCTGCTTCCTCCCTAGGGACACCCAAGCAAGGCACAAAAGCCAGTTTTTACTGCTAGAACACTATTTCTACATTGTCTAACCAAGCAGTTACTTATTAGTACTTAGCAAATGGGGGTAAAAAAAAAAATCTTAAAGCAACAGTTCTCAGAAGGTCCTGAATGTTTTGACTTGAGGACGTTTCTTGGGGTAGGAGCTGTGACTGAAGGGAAAGGCATGAACGGATAGGGCTCAGCAGGGATACGCCCCCCAGGAAAAGTAGCCCTGGTCTAAGTAGAGAGAAGGGACTAGCCCCCCAGGAAGCTAGCTGTCATTACCTTTCAGAAACGTGCTGGGAACTTACGCAGGGTCTCAATAAATCAACTCAATGGTGACCCTCTAAGGAGCTCCAGTAACGTAGTGGCTAGGAAATCGGACTGCTCACCTCAGGGACAGCAGTTGGAAACTACCAGGTATTCAATGGGAGAAAGTTGAGGCTTTCTGCTCCCGTAAAGATTTACAGCCTCGGAAACCCACGCAGGATAGCACGGCACAAAACACTGGTGACCTTCTATGGTAACCTACTAGAGTCCTGGTGTGGCACAGTGGGGTAATGCACTAGACCTCAAGACTGGTTTGAATAGGAAGGTTGTCAGTTCAAATTCACCAATCTCTACAGGATCTTATTGAATCGGAACTGACTTGTCGGCACTTCACCACCATTGTTAAACCAGGGCACCTGTGTGTTGACCCCAGCACCACCTCTCATGGTTCTAACACTGATACAAATTATTAACTCCTACAAGGGTGGTAATGTTTACACTGGCTGGTATCTAAATGTGTATTTCCTCTTAATTCAGTGCATGTGATTACAAAGACTTGTTTCCACTGGGCTATTAGCACTGTTACCACCTGTACCCGTACTTCAATCACAGAGTAAGCCCGTTATTGGTAGAAGGATCCCCAAGTGGTGGGCTCCAAGGGTAAGCAGAACGCATTATATCACCCTGCTTGCCCTGCAATGGCCGCCCTACTTTGCTGGGAAAGGTTTGAAACTTTTAATGGGTGTTCCAAGCTTGGAATACCCAAGTCAAAAACATATCTTGAGCTAAATCAGTTTGTAAATTCTTTCCCTAATTCATTCATGTTACATTGAATACACATGCCACTGCAATCCAGTAAGGGGGGGGGAATCCCATCTTGAAAAAAACCACTTTGGCTTGGCCTGCTCCTGGACCAGCGGCCCCCTCCAGTTACTCTATGGCTGGCCAGCAGGGGGCGCCACAGCCCAAACTAGAGACTGCAGCCACTCAGTGTGCACGCATCATCCAGGACCAAGATGAGCCCGGAATGTGGCCAAGGACTACCCCATCTTGCAAGTCTTGCTGGAGCGTACCTCGGGGAGAATTGTTGCCTTGAGCTCCAGGAAAAGGTGCTGAACCAAGTGACCCTAGTAACCACAGAGGGTCAAGCTGCACGACAGGCAGCTGCCCAAATTGTTTCTGCGGGAGTCTGGTCACTTAATAATGGAGACCAGCTGCTTGGGTTCAGCCTCACAAAGCAAAAGCAGGCTGCATAGGTAGCGGCAGCTCCAATTGGCTCCTTTCCTAATAAGCATGAACCCAAGTATCCGGTTACAGCTAAGGAATGCCTAGGGCCAGTCTTCAGGAAGAACGGGAGGTGTGTACCGGAGGGTCCTGGGAAGGTACTGCTTTGGGTGGAACTGGGCAGCTGTCTGCCCACCCCAAATCAGAGCGTCGAGAGAGGGCAGCATGGCACCATGGGACAAGGGTCAGTGAGCGAAGAGACAGTCATGCCAGACCTCCCCACAGACACACTAACGGGCCCATTACAAATGCCTCATCCCTCTGGGTCCCTCTAAACTACACACAAATCCCCCCCTACTAAAGTCCCAGAGAGAAACCTTTCCATCAGCAATATCCAAAAGGGGTGACGTGAGGGCGTCAGACTGCTCAGAGTGTGCAGTGATTCTCCATGAAAACTGAACTAGTGACAGACTGAGTCCAGTGAGAAGTAAGCTTCAGGGAAGGACTAGTGGGGAAGGTGACGGGCAGACAGATGCCTAATCAAAATGCCTGCAGCCCTTTGGCCAGGTGTCCCTACACACTGGCCCCGTTCCCCATGCTGCGGTCAGTCATCTCAGGGAGCTCTTAACACCTAACTCGATAGGGTGGCTAACCTCCAACCCCACGCTGCTATCTGGGTTAGGAATCAGGTAGTTTGGATACCGTGCCCTAGAGGACAGGTGTGCTTGTGTGTTTCTGTGGTGGTGGGGGTGGGGGTGTGTGTGACAACACATAAGGGTCTTCACTGTGACTCAGCCAGGCACGTGTACAACGAAGGCTCCCATTCAACTTCGCTTCTTCAAGGTCAAGACTTCCTAGTGTGAAGCAAGGTGCCGGCAGCGAGCGCGCCTTGCTCTTGCTCCTCAGTCTTTAGGAACTTTTGAGCGGACTCAGAAAACATGGTCAATTCCCAAACAGCACTCCAGGTGGCACTGGTGCTCCTCAGTGTGAACAATCTGAGTTTCACAGAAGTCGCAAACTCTTCTGATTTGGGGGTCAATTTTGGGGCGTTAATTTTCTCCTCCTGATGCCCATTATCTGAGCTGCTCACACCATGTGGTGAGCTATATACAACTCTCCAGCATGGACCAGAGAAAGCAGTTGTGCACCTGGAGGGCGTGGTCATGATTTCCAAAGTGTTGAGAAAATTAACTCAATCGATTCCTGTTGGGTTGGCATTCATGATTGATGGCGAACTAGGCACAAGCCCCAGGAGTAAAACCACCAGACCACTTGTAGAGACAGGTGTTTCATGACCCAAGCCCAAGCTGGAATCGCTTGGGTGGAAGCCTAGCCCAAGATTCATTTGAGGGGGGGAGGGGGGGGTTCCTGCTTCTCGGGAATGCCCAGGACACTTAACAAGCTATTTTGTAAGGTTGTACTTTAAATGACAACCTGTTTGTACCTAAATTGTTCACTACTTAAGCCCCTGACAGGGGTGTGCTACAACACTGTAGCTGCTCTCCCCTGTAACTCGCCCCAAGGAGCCCACACACTGGACTGCTAGCCCTAAGGATGGCAGTTCAAACCAACCCACCAGCTACTCGGCAGGAAAAATATGAGGCTTTTGGCTCCTTGTGAAGATCTACAGCCTTGGAAGCCATAGGTCATCAACTCAATGGCAGCGGGTTAGGCAACGGGGGCTTTTCAAACCTCCTGCTGCTCCACAGAAGAGGAGGCTGGCTGCTTTAAGTCTTGGAAACCCTATGGGTTTCTACCTTGTCTTACCGGGATTTGAGTGGTAATTCTCCTAGTCCCCAGGGGTCCTGCTGTGCTGCAGACACAGGGGAGGGGTGTGCAGCCTGTTACCTTATTTTCTTCACGTTGAACTCCTCCAGGCTGGAGGCAGACACAAGCTGCCCAACCTTCATTTAAATCAATGAGAAGTGGCAAAAATTCCTGTTAAGGTTGTTTTATCTAATTGTTAAGAACCAGGGCATAACTACATGCGTGTTGATATGTTACAAAGAATCAAGATTGTAACCTATTTTACAACATACAAGTGTACACCTAGGCCTTGTTCCTGGCTGGAGGAACCAGCAGGCTTCCCCAGAGGCGACCTTGGAGGCTATCTGATGGACAGGCCACTCAGTCCCTGCAGCATTCACCTTCTAATAAGCTCAGGGCTGGCCCTGCTACCTGACAGCACTAAGTGGGGCACCAAGAAGTAGGTGAGCTTAGAGGGGCCAGCTTTCTCCCCAAGCCCAAGAAGAGGGACGTTCTGGGACAGGCATGGAGAGGAGCTGTGGAGACATTCGCCAGAAGTTCCATCCTGCACAGATGACACCCTCCCTGAATCAAGGAGAATCTTTTCCTTTTCTTTTTTTATTTAAAGCCCATAAAAGGGAAAATAGGAGTCCTGGTATAGCGCTGTGGGCTAATGCATCAGAATGCAAAGTCGTTTGAACTGCAAGGTTGGTGGTTCACGCTCACCAGCCGCTCCTTGGAAACCCTAGACAGGGTCGCTATGGATCAGAATCGACTCGACACCCAACAACAACAAAAGGAAAAATCTTTGAAGCATCTAAGAATGCCATTATTGATAAGGAACTCCCAGCTGTATGTAGGACGTTAACAATGCCACCAACCCAAACCCCTGACCTGTATGATGTCACTGCAGAGCCACTAAGTTCTGGGCTCTCCTCTAGTTGGGGAGGAAGACTGGCTCAGAAGTACAGAACCCAACTCAACTTCCTTCACTGCCAGGAGGTGCCTAGGGCTCATGGAGCTGACAGGACATGGCATGTCCTTGGGCCTCTTGTTGCAGGGAATCAATCTATTCATCTAATGATTTCAGTGGGTGGGCTTTCAGGGACTATGCAGGGACCACTGTGCTGAAGCAGCTGTCCTTTCTTGCTCCCTCAGCACTACTCAGGCTGAGTGAGGGGAGGGAGGAATGGTCACATCCTAAAAGATCAGCAGCCAGTGAGCAATTTGGGTGTGGCTTCATAGTTTGTTAACAGCTTCCATTTTCATTCCCAACGCCAGATGACACAAACTGCAGGAATAACACTTTTACAGAAAAAATCTGAATACATCTCCAGTGTTTTAGATCACCTAAATCAACCTAGTCTAAAATACTAAGGTGAGTGTACCTAGGAATAAATATACCAGCATTCTATATCAAAATCCTAATACAAAATCCTCATCAGCTAGGGACACTTTAGAAAAAGAGGTCAGTCCCTTCATGCCTTGACAAGATCGGGCAGTTAACTTGGTAGAGATGAAGCAGCATCATCTGGGGGGAAAGAAAGGGGTCCTGTGAGCTACAAACACTCTACAGGAGCGCTTCCCACAGGTACGAGAAAGGGACTGCAGGGCTCACTCTGAGTCTCAAGACACCACCTTGGCAATAGCCTAGTGGTACTTCGGTGGGTCAGGCCTCATTATTCACAGGAGATGCCCTCCCATCTGCAGAAAAGCTGTACCTGGACAGCCCACACCCGAGGTCACCATTACCGGCCGGGGAGGAGGGGGAGATCCTTCAGCGGCTGGGCAGTTGCAGGCGCACAGAGCCAAGTGGGACCAGCTCACAAGGACACGGGCCCTAGGTAAAGTCGGCCAACATGGTGAGCCACTTCCTCATGAAGCTGACCTGGCAGCTGGCTCCCCAGCAGCGAGGCAGGTGGCCCAGGGCCTTGGTGGAATGTGAGGAGCTGTGTGCTGTCTGCATCTGCTGGGACCCAGGGCGTGCCCTGCTACTGCCAAGTGAGGAGACGGGTCAGGGAGAAGGAAGGCTACTCACCAGTGACCCTACTCTCCTCCCAATCATCTTTTGGGAAAATGGCAGCTCTGGGACAACAAAAACTGATCAGAAGCTATCAGCTCAGAAACACTCCCCTCCTGTACCCCCAGAATTATGGAGTTTAATTTAGAGATGTGGACATGCTGCCAAGATGAACCACCAGCCAACTGTCCCCAGCTTTCTGCCACGGCCCCTTCAGTGAAGAGTGGGTATGTGGAAGTGTAGAAAAACCCCAGACTCCTCGCTGATCTTCCCTTGATAACTGAGTGAGGCCAGAAATGGATATATGAGGAAGACTGGGACAAAGGGACCCACCATTCTGCCCTGTGATCTCCCCCATCCACACTTCCTTTCTCCCCCTACTCAGTTTCCTAAAATGCTATGCTGGAGTCTCATGGCCAGCTCCCAGTTCTGGCAGACAGAGATGAGGGTGAGCTGAACATCCCCCCAACCGTCTGTACAGTGGCCCGGGGCCAGTCATGCTCCTTCATTCTGTGTAACTCACTTAAAGCACTTTAGCACAGTAATCAAAAGTGCCCAGCCCTGCACCGATGGTTGGTGATTATTTTGCAAGTCTGCTCATTCCTTCTGTGAAGTGCCCCACTGAAGAGGTGTGCTGTAATCACACGGGAATCTGAAGCGTGTAACTGTCAGCATGAAATACTGCTCACACCACCCAAAGTGTACCTCACTCCTCTGCCCTGACATAGCCCAGCAGTGTTCTGCGATTTCCTTGACCCAACTTAGCTCACAGCACGACTAACATTCTGAAAACCAGCGTCATATATACGATGATATGGGGATTTCTAGCCAGGCCTGATGGGTCTGAGGGTGTGCTTGAGAACAGCACTTTCCATGGAACTCAAGCTCTAGCCCACCCAGCATGTTCAAACAGTACAGTGCACGACCGAAATGGGCCTGGAAAAACTCCTCCTAAGAAGACACTGTGTCCTGGGAGTCAATGTTACATTCCTAAGAATGCAACTCGGTGCATCAGGCTGAGAAAGACGACCATACAAGAGATCCAGGCGGCGTCACTGACCTGGGACTTGAACCATCTGAAATGCCTTCATTTAATTTACAGTTCAGGGCAGGGCACAGCGTTTGCAGTGCCCACGTGCACGAGGAGGGCCGGAAAGCTGGATCCATCTAAGGCAGCAGCCTCCATGACTTACCTTCCGGAACGACACCAGGGTAAGCAGTACTAATGGGCCCTCTAAACTCAGGTGTTTGTGTAGGTGTGTAGTGTGTGAACGAAACAGGAAAAAAACATCTGCCTGCCCACTCAAAAATCCACGTGACTCCTGAAAATCAGGTGTGGACCGCGTGCATCTGCGGCACTGACTTGCAGACTGCAGAGCTCCCCACACTTGGGCTGATAGAGACTGTGGAGCAATTCTGGTCCTGGAGGGGAGTGTGTCTAGACATCCCACTTTGTGGAAGCTCACACAAATACTTACCGGAGAGCTTGCTAACAGAAAGAAGAGAGGTTACACAGCCCACAGCCCGGGTGAGAGTATAGCAGGTAGTCTGTGCAGTGGGTGTCTCAGGCATGCGAGGCTGCCTCAATCTCTGAAGGTGCAGCGAGCGTTTACAACAGGAACACCAAGGAGGCTGCAACTCACAGCCCCAGACAGCCACGTGGCTGGCTATCCAGAACGGGAAGGGCCCACAAGGCTAACCCCTAGGAGATACATACATTTATACAACAATGACGTCGAAATAGCAGCAGTCTTTTCTGGCTTTACTGCATTGTAATTGTGATCGCTCGCCCAGGACGGTGTACTGCTCTCAGGGGCTGCTTCCTTCATCAGGGCTTCAGTCCGAGAGGGTACCACCACAGTCTTCTTCACAAGGTTCTCTCTTTTGTCTGCAGCTGGTCTCTTGTACATAGGAGAGATTCTAATGCCGGCCTGGATAACCAGTAACAGCGCCATCATTGGGGGGTCAGAAATGACACCTTCACCTCACCATCAACACCTCCCAATCCACCCTGGCCTTCCTGATGGCGTGACCACACCCTACGTGGAGGGAGGGAAGGTCATGTCAAGGGACAAAGATGCAGGGGGAGGGACGAGCTCCTGGTCAGACAAGGGAGTGTGGCAATACAGAAACTGGAGGGCATCTGTTCTCAAGAGAACAATGATGGTGGTGGTGGGGGGTCTCGGCACCTTGTGTTCGGTTCTGAATTCAAACTTCCAAATCTTAAAACTGGAGTTGAGTTGCTGCCCTTCTGTCATCTGTAGGGGAGCAGATGACTAGGGGACTTTCCCCTGGGGCCCACCTTCTGGTTAGCAGCTGAGTGCTTAACCTCAGTGCCACCAGGGCTCCTATGCACTTGAAAGTCCTCAAGGAAAGAGACTCCCCTCCCCTGAGTACCAGGCAGGCTTTGCTGGGAGAAAACCCAGCTGACCCAGACTCAAACTCTCGGACCGCTCTGCTATGGTTTTCGAAAAGGCCCTGGAGTCTCCCCTAAGCACACGTGGTATATATAAGATAGCAAACTGTGTGCCAGAATCCACCTGCCACCTGCCCACACAAACTACAACTTGGTTTCTGACTCCTGCCTGAGATGAAGAACTGCACCGCACCCCAAGACTTCCTTTCTCAGCTAACGAACAGAGACAGTGAGGCTACAAAGTTGACACCACTTCCTTATGTAAAGGAAACTGGGAGAAGCCAAAAGTAAAGTTGTCATGATCTGTGTTACACGTACACAACACCCTGGAAACAAATCGAGATAAACAGCACTTTTACACAGTCTTTGCTGAAACCGTTCAAATGACTGGCCCACTTACCTGAACACTACAGTTTAGAAGATTGAACTTTTCTGGTTTCATCTTGGGCTTTTCTTTGAGTTTGGGTTTTTGCTCTTTACCTGAACTCAGGAATTTCATAGTAGCTGCAGCATGCTTAAGGATACACTCACTGCTGCAGTAAACTGAGTCAGGCTGCGCCACCTTAGAGCACCCAGGGCCGATGCATTTCGAGGCACCAGGAGCCTCGACAACCTGTAGAGGAAAGCATGTGACTTCAAACAAGGTACTTACCAAGCTTGACAGTGAGAGTTTACAGAGCACTGATACACTCAGACTGTGAGCCTTGTTTCCTCAAATGCATAGATCTACTTCCCACGTTACAACATTCACACCCTGAGTGTCCTGAGACCCACCGGTGCCGCCCTGCCCGGAGTGAGAGCAGAGCCAGGAAGACAGGGGGTTTCCCACCCAGTAAGGCCCCTCTTATGACAAACAGATTTACAGATGAGCCAATTATGAGTTCATCAAAAAGGCCTGACTGAGCCTGGAGGGAGGCGCCCACTCCCTTCTGAAGGGCAAGATGCTCTTACGGGCTCTGTCATGAACTGTCAAGTTGTCAGAAGGCTATGTGGTCAGGATCTGAGGACAAGGTTACCAGTAAACCACAGGACAGCCATTAAAAGGGAATTTCAAATACACAACGGTAATATATTTTGGTCTAGAAGCACAAGGGGCATCATGATAGCAGCCAGTTGAGGGAGGAGTATGAGAGCAGCTCACCACCCTGCCGCCCACCCTCCCAGTCTGGAGACCCTGAGCTAACAATGCCCCATGACACTGTCAGCTGGAGCAGTTCTCAACTTGGCTCAAGCTTCCTTTTCCAGTGACTAATGTTCACTTTAGTCGTGTCCCCAGAACTCTAGATTTCTCAAATGAAATGTTTGCTTTTCCTCCACAGACTGTTTCCCGAAGGCTTCTGCTCTCCGAGTTGTGGCTGAGGGGCAGGCTATGGGATGCAGCAGGGGGGTGGGGGCCTGGTCTGAGGCTGCCCAGGGGTCCAAGAAGGCCTGGAATGTGGGTGCAGGAGATGGTGGAACACAGAAAACACAACAGAAAGACCTAGCACCAAGGGGTGTGAAGACAGCGCACTGAGGGCAGCTTCTGAGAAAGTGCATCTAGCACGGGGGGGGGGGGACGGGACGGGACGGGACACGACGACGACAAAGTCCAGCCCCATGTCATCATGCAGGAACTACCCAGCACCCCCCGAAAGGGACACCCGTGGTCTCAAGGCAGTTATCAGGTGTGGCCCAGGACACACAAATTCTTTCATAATTAAAAATACTAGTTTTCTACTCTGACAATACAAACTAACAGAACACTTAAGGAGTAGCTACTATTAAAAAGTGAACCCACTTAACGAAAAGCCAAGTAGCTAAGAGTACAGGAAGAGACGGTGTAAAGCCTGTCTGTGTGTCACCCACACCACCACTAGGCGACAGGAAGGACACAGAGGCTGCCCAGAAGCCAGTGCAGAGGACACACACCTGTGCCCCTTCTCACTTTCCTAGAGTGGCATCATGAACATGCAGTTCCCTGCAGTCCTAAAACACCTTCCGGGTCTGCAAAGCTGGGTTCTGTAAGATCCACTCCTAACGGGTCCCTCGGTGCACAGAATACTCACAGGCTGAAATATCTTGAGCTTTTTCTTGCCACTTGGATTTGCAGCTTTCTCAATTCTCCCCTTTATTCCTTGGTCTTCATTAGACTTTTGTTCTACCGTTCCTATACTTGTACAATCTGTACTATCAGCGTCTCCCTGTCTCTTAGTTTCCGGCTGGCCCGTGCTTTCTGAATTTGCTTCGTCCTGCACTTGCAGGATGGTGCAATTGGGGCAGATGTAGTCTTCCCCGTTCCTCTCCAGAAGCCTCCCCCGGGCCTCTGAGATGCCCACACAGTCGCCATGGAACCATTCCTCACAGCGGTCACAACAGATCATGAACCTGTAGGGACAGAAAACAGCGTCACAACGGTCAGGTCCCTGTACACTTAACAGGTGCTTCCACTGTGACTGGGGGGGGGGGGGGGCGGGAAGTGGGCTGTCAGAGTATTAGGGTTTGTTAAGTGGGGTGAAGATGGTACTGTTTCACAGAGATATGTACAGAAGTGTCTAGGGTGGGAAGCACCCTGTTGGGTCTTATGTATGTCACTCAAAGTCTAGAAGCAGGGTGCCCAGTAGAGATCCTGGGATAGTGTGAATGTTCTAGTCTTACATGGTGTGGTGACTGTGTGAGGGCAGCACCTCACCCTCGTCCCTTACTGTGACTGTAGGATCTACATGTGTCAGTGGTGACAGTACTAGGCAGGGGGTCTGGGCAGTCCGTACCCACGCCTTCTGGTTTTATCTTTTTTCACTGAATTATTTGCTCGGAGTCCTGGTGTGTCACTGTGGGTTAATGTGCCAGACTGCAAAGCCGTTTGAACTGCAAGGTCGGCGGTTCAAGCTCACCAGCCGCTGGTTGGAAACCCTATACAGGGTGGGTCACTATGGGTTGGAACCAATTCAATGGCCCTTAACAACAACAATTATTTGCTCAGCCCAGCCTCCTCACTCTGCTCCCATGTGGGGGGTTTCTGTGCGAGTCGGGGCTCACAGCCAGGACCCACCTGTTGTTGTGAGGCTGTCGGCACAGGCAGTACAGGGCGTTGGGGTCATAAACCTCGCACTCGGGTTTGTGCTTGACTGACTTTGGGAGTTCGTTCTCTTCAAGTTCCTGAGCCACTTTCCCTTCCGGTTTCCCATCCTTGTCCTCTCGCGCCGCCTGGCCAGTCTCGGGCTCGGGCTCACAGGGCAGAGCACACTCGTCAGCCTCTACACCCACTGTTTCCACGGGGTCCTCTGCGCGCCGCTTCTTCCTCAGGCGGCTCTGCAGGCCTCTCAGGGGCCGATCGTTCGGCTCCTGCTCTCGTTTTCTGCGCAGGCGGTTCTGAAGTTCCTTCAATGTTAACCCATCACTGTCACTATCGGAGGTGTCGTCGTCCTCGTCCTCCCCTTTGGTTTTTTCAGAAGAAGCTGCTTGTTCCTTAATGCCTGCAGTGTCAGACTTCAGGCCACTCTTGACCTCAGATGTGCTTTCTACGCTCCCTTCAGAGGCAGTCTCGACATCAGTGACTGGACAGGAAGTGGGCTCATTGGTGTCTTCCAGGGAGACGGGAACACTCTTCCTGCCCCTGCGCCTGACCGTTGTCAGGAATTCCTCCACTCGCTCGGTGCGCTTGGGCTGCCGCCCGCTGCGCCTCAAGGAAAGGTTCTGCTGCGGTGGCTGTGGCGGCTGCTCCAGAGCATCTGCCTCAGCGTCGCCTGCACCCTCACGCTTGGCAATTGTGGTTCTTCGGAAGCCCCAGGTTTTCCGGAACTCTTTACTTGTGGGCTTGATGGCCTTGGGTGTGTCATCAGTGCTCGGGTCCCCTTTCTCATCCATGCCTGATGGGAAAACCATCGCGTGAGTTTACAGTTCTGGGTGACACAACAGGAAAGACTGAAACACTGCGCTACAAGAGGCCCAGTGCAGTCACACAATGAGCAACAGCTACATCCGTCATGTCTACGCCCACAGAGCTACAAAGGGTTCTGCATTCATGCAAGTCACTGTAACCGTTGAGTGAAGAAAAAGTTATCTACGTGTGTGTAGAGAGAGAGCTCATTAACGTGAAAAGGCAGCAAATCAGATCTTGACTCTCTCCATTTTACTGCTTAAGACAAGGCTCACAGGCCAGGGAGAGAACAGATGGAATGTCCACAGTCAGGAGTGTGGAGATTGAGTCCACCTCCCCCATTCCCCAGGACCATTGGAGGATGTTGTGCCAGCTCTAGGCCAAGCTTCAGGACTGCTGTGACTGTCCTTGGCACCTGAGGCCCTAATGCCCTGTTGAGCTGTGGCCTGGCTGTCTTTGAAGCCATTGGGCTTTGGGGTTAGTTACTGTACAGCATCAGCTCGCTGGACACAATGACTAGCCTCTGGTCTGCACGTCCTGGCTAACAGACCACTGTACAATTCCAACACCCTTGTTTAGAATGACTGGACCTGAACAAGACCGGATATACCTGAGGACTCCTTTCTGGGTTGCCCAGGCTTCAACTGCATTCAAATGCTATTGACGACACCTCAGCTGTTATGCCCCGTTCCATCCTACAGGGATGACTGGCAGAGAGAAAGCCTTCAAAATACAAAACAGAGAGACCCCAATTTGCTCATGTGAGTTTTGGGTTGCTTGGTCTTCCTTCCATTTTTCCCGTCAGAGCTGCTACCAGTGGTCTCAAGCCTGCCGCGTGCCTCCTTGCCACTCCGAAACTTGGGGTGACAACACACTGTGTCTTTGGTCACCTGTGGGGACGTATCCATGAAAGGATGCAGGTGAACTAAACCATGGTGGCTAAGTCTCCTAAAGCCACTGAGAGGCAGCGAGAGGGCAATGGAACACAGGACTGCAGGCCCAGAAGGTAGGCTGGCTCCCACAGGTGATCCTAAGCAGTCACACTGCGCCACTCACAAAAACAGCTCCCAACAGTGGTGAGCTTTCAATGTGGTTAACAGACACAGAGACACACCCCTCACACACACATACTCTAGCAGTCCTGGGGTGGCGCTCTGGGCTAATGCATGAGACTGCAGAGTCGATTGAACTGCAGCATCATCAGTGGGTCAACCTCACCACCAGTACTTCACAACAACATAGCATTCTGTTTCTTCATTCTCTGGAATGTTTCCCATAGCAAAACCAATGTTCCCACTTGTGCAAACCAACTGGCAGCAAGCCTGACTCCTCCATCTACGTGGTGAGGTCCAGTTTTCACGGACCATTTTGAGGTTCTACTGAAGATGCAGGAGGCCTGGGGCGGCGCTGTGGGTTAATGCGCCAGACTGCAAGCCGTCTGAACTGCGAGGTCGGCAGTTCAAGTTCACCAGTTGCTCCTTGGAAATCCTATAAAGGGTCATTATAGGTCGGAACCGACTCGACGGCACTTCACAACAACAAATGAAGATGCCAGGTGAAAGGCCACAGCACCTGCAACTCTAACTATGATGGATCCCGTACCAACCGCGCAACTAGGGTAGAGGGCATATTCTGGCACCTTCAAGGGCCCTGCTGAGACCCACAAAGCTCAAACAGGTCTGCAAAACCCTCTCCCACCTCAGAAGGGTGGTTTCTAGCAGGAAGAATTCTCCTCTACAATTCATTCTCAGTAGGCAAGGTAAGTTTATATATCTATACATATATGCCTTAATAAGCAAACAAACAAATGCCATCAAATTCTAACACACCAAACTTTCTCATCCTTAGAGTTGAAACCGACACACATGCTAGATCATATTAGTCTCTTTACAAATAAAGTCACTTTAGAACTCAAACCACTATTCAGTAGTTACAATTTCGCTGCTGCTTGACACTGACACTTACCTGGCCCCAACACCAACACCTTCTTTCCTGCGTCCCAGTTACAATGGAAAATGGGGTCGATGGAATCACTTGATCCAAGTCATCAACAGCCAAGTGTCCAAGCAAAACTGTTGCCAGTCACTGTCCACAAAAAACAAGATCTGTGGTCTCCAACACTGGAAATATCTCCCAAGTGTTCCCGTGGAGCAAGAACCTACAAGAGAACAAATAGTTTACAGATCAGAATGAATTACAACTAGAATACCACCTTGACCCCCCAACACAAAGTGTCACTTGACCATAATAAGGTTGGTTTGAAGCCCAAGGTCGGTGGTTGTGGATTCTGACCTAGCTGCTAACTGCAAGGTCGGCCATTTGAATCTACCAGTCTCTGTGCAGGAGAAAGACGAGGTTTTCCGCTCCCACTCCTATAAGGAGCTGCAGACTTGGAAACCCTAGGCAGGGAGTGCTTAACTCTTACAGTCCAGGAACACAGGACCCTAGGACCATCAAGGGGAAAGAGCATGAGCGGAATGTGGGACTCTACCCTGGTGTTGCGCTGTGCGTTAATGCACTAGACTGCAAAGTTGGTGGTTCAAGCTTACCGGTCGCTACAGGGTCACTATAGGTCAGAATTTACTCGATGGCATTTAACAACATCCAGAGAAGCAGCGACACCAGAGATGGAGGCAGAGATGAGAACATTGAGAAAGAGAGAGCAGCTGACTCTAGACTCATAGAAAGAGAAAGGCTGAGTGCTGGCGGCTAGAAGGCAGGCTTGCAGAATGTGCCCTTCGGTTGTTAAAATGATCATATATTCCTGGATGTTTCTGTATACATCACAACTCCCCCCCACACACACACACACACAAAAACAAAACAGGGAACAGAAGCAAATATCACTGAATGGCAATGCCTGGAGGGGGGTTTGTAATCATTGTAATGAAATGAAATCCATAGGATGAGTGAAAACTGATGATGTTCTCCCATAAAAACAATAAAAGCTTTTAAATCAACCAACCAACAAAACCCTACACAGGGTAGCTGAGTCAAGGGCACTATCAAACAACTCTACAAACAGCACCATCAAGTTTTCACTATGTGACTGATGAAGACCACGGCAAGCCCAAGAGACAGGGCCTGGGAGACAGTGACAAACTCTCTAAGAAAGGGCCAGTCTTGGTGGCACAATGGTAGAGGGCCAAAGACAAGGAGAGCAATTCTAGAAATCTGTACTCACGCAGCAACTTCTTTCCATCACCACCCAACTTTTGAGACAGCTGAGGGAGAGCTGCTCCAGAAGAGAGAGCCACGAAGAGCGAGCAGAAATGCCAAACAAGAGAGCAGCGCACAGAAGCGGCCCGAGGGCGGCCACCAATGCAGACAGGCAGGAGAAACCAAGGCAGTGGCATTCCTACAATTTGTCTTTCAAAGATCCTCCAAAGCAGAGCCATGTCACAGTTTAATTAAGTTCAAATTTTAATTAAAAGAGATCTTAGAAGACCAAGGCTTACACCTTTATTTAAACTATGGTTTCTTCTCATCTAAGTGGATTTCAAACCCCTTTTTCCTTCTAGAGCCTTTCGAATGCCACAACTACTTTTAAAAGCTCAGTAAAACAGCTCTAGGGAGCTCTGGTAACTGTAGTGGGTATTAAGTCGGGCTGCTAATCTCAAGGTCAGCAGTGTGAAACTACCAGCCGTTCCACAGGAGAAAGATGGGGCTTTCTGCCTCTGTAAAAATTCACAGCCTCGGAAATCCTATACAGGGTTGCTATGAGTTGGAACCAACTCCACAGAACATAGCCACCACCAAACAGGTCTTGGTTTCTAGACGGGTTCTGGATATTCACCTTCCCCAGTGCCCCCCTCTCAGAGACCTGAAACCTGTACCTCACTTCTCCCTCGGTCTCACTCCAACTGACTCCCTAAGGTCTCCCTAGAGACCTGACCACAGAACAAAGGGGGTGACAACATTCCCCTGGGGCCCCTTTTAAAGAGCCAGTGTCTTCCCATTCTCCAGGGTCCCCGATTAACCAAATGAGCCACCAAAATCACGGCAAACCCAGCCTCAAAGTGACTGCCTTCAAGAGTTCAGAAACTTTACTTCTCAGAAGACACTGGAAATCAATGTCAGCAATTTGTGTGTCATACATAACACTTAACACTCATAAAATCAAAGACATGAAGACATTCTCTGTAATGAAAAACCAACCCACCAAAACTCAAATGTTCATCAGAAAAACTTTGTTTCCTGATTTGATCTGGGTTCTCAACACCTAATTAGAGGGAAAGTAGTTATTCCGATGACGTGCGAGCAGAGTAAGTACACTCTTCCACGTAGGGTGCATCACTTTAGACATTTTGGTTCCTCTGTCTCTACTCTACATTTGCAATATGGGTTTCTTTACACAAACGCACACTTTTGGACAGTATGTGAAATTAAAAATATACAAATCAAGGTTGGAGATGTAAATTGCTATATATGCTTGAGTGGGTTTGTGTGCTTTTTTAAAAAGCTAAAGTGGATAGAGAGAAATACTTTTAACTGATGGTATATGGAGGGGATTATAATCAATGTAATGAAACAAGTTATATGAATTGTTGAATGTGAAACTGATGATGTGCCCTGTAAACGTCCACTCAATCTACAATAAAAACAATAAATTTTTTTTAAAAAAAGAAAAGAAAATGAAGGACAGGCTAACATATGCTGAAGTAATTACACTCAAAACTTGAGGGCCCCTAAGAGTCTGTTTATTGATGATACATCCATTGATGTTTCTCCTAAGTTAAAAATACTTATTCATTGAAAAAATGGAAAGCTTTAAAAATCCACAACATAGTGATAAGAGTGACACTATCTTACAGTTTTAATAAGCCAAAGTGTGTGGCGTTGTAGGATCAGCACTGGACTGCGAACCACAAGGTTGGTAGTTCAAACCCACCAGCTGCTCCTTGGAAATCCTGTACAGGGTCACTATGAATCAGAACCGACTTGACGCCACTTAACAACAACCAGCTTGACAGAAAACAAGTTTGTT